GGTGCCCCACCGGGTAGCTTTAAGCGACAATTGACTGGTCCCATTTTTTCTTCCACTTTGAATGGTCCTAGTCGTAGATGATCCAGCTTGTTGCTTGGTCGCTTGGTTTTGATGTTGCGGCGCAACAGGTAAACCCTTTCCCCCTCCTTCAGATCAGGTCCTACCTGATGGTGTTTGTCGTAGTATTCCTTCATGCGTAGGTTGACAAAATCAATGTCCCTGGATAGTTGCGCATGCAACTTCCGTAGCTCCGTGGCCTTCAGCCTTGCTGATTCTGCCATAGCTGCCTTGCCAATTGGTTCTCCGAACGTCACTGGGTGGTACCCATTGTTCGCGAAGAATGGTGTTTCGTTGGTTGTAGAGTGTACCGCGTTGTTGTATGCCAGTTGTGCTGTCGGCAACAGTCCTGCCCAGTTGTCTTGCTGGTAATTCACGTAGTGCCTCAGGTACTGCTTCAGTGTTTGGTTCACTCTTTCCGTTTGTCCATTGGTTTGTGGATGGTAGGCGGTAGAGAGTCTAAGCTCAATCCCCATTTGATCCGCAAACGACTGCCACATGTTCGATGTGAACAGCTTGTCTCTGTCCGATGTGATCTTGCTTGGCAATCCGTGGTTTGCAACCACATGCCTTAGCACGATGTTTGCCATCTGATTGGCATCAATGGTTTCCGTAGTCGGGATCATGTAGGCGTATTTTGTGAGCCTATCGACTATAACCATGATCATGTCGTGTTGTCCTTCTGAGACTGGTAACTTCGTGATGAAGTCCATCGTGATCCATTCCCATGGATTCGTTGGTGTCTCCGATAGTTGTAATTCTCCGTATGGCGAGTGCCGTGCAGGCTTGTTTCTCTGGCACGTGTCGCATGTTTTGATGTAGAATCGGACCTTTCGATACATGTTCGGAAAATAGTAGTTTCGCGTAATGTGTTCGATGGTCTTTTCTACCCCCATATGTCCGTGTGAGAGGTCGTCGTGGTGTCGTCGTATGACCTCATTTCTCAATTTGCTTGGGACATATATCAATCCGTGCATGTGGAGTAGTCCAGTGTCGTCACTGATGAGCTTGCTTCCTTCTGTGGCGAGCTCGTTGATTGCGTCTCCTTCCAATGCATCTCGGATTTTTTGTAAGAAGTCGTCGTCTACGACCTCCATTGTTGCGGCCAGGATTTGTTTGTTGTATGAAATGGTACCATCTGAGTTTTGTCTCAATACAGCCGGTTCTGCTGATTTGGTGCCGAGTTCATAGTCTGGTCGTCTGCTCAAAGCGTCGGCTTGGCTGTTCTCTGTCCCTTTGCAGTGTTCGATTCTGAAATCGTATTGTGCAAGGGTCTCAGCCCATCGCGCTTGTCGTCGTGTAAGAACCTTCGTTGTGGTGAAGAATGTGAGGTTCTTATGGTCTGACTTGACCGTCACGGTGTGCTTTGCTCCTTCTAGATATTCTCTCCAGACTTGGAATGCTGACACTATAGCCAAGAGTTCCTTGTCGTGCACATCGTAGTTGAGTTCTGCGGGGATTATCTTTCTCGACCAAAATGCGACTGGTCGGTACTTCCCGTCTTGTCCTGGTTGCGTCAACCGTGCTCCTAGAGCGTAGTCTGATGCGTCAGTTTCCATGATGATTGGTTTATCGTAGTCGAATGTTGCCACGATTGTTCCTTTGCTGAAGAGTGTCTTGAGTTTTCGAAACGAGTCTTCGGCTGCTTCGTCCCATTCAAACTTCTGGTCCTTTTTCGTGAGCCGGTAGAGTCCCGTCGCGACTCCCGCGTACCCGTCGATGATTTTCCGGTAGTAGTTGGCTAGACCGAGAAATCGTTGTACTTCTTTCATGCTTTTGGGCGTAGGCCACTCCATGATGCTCTTGACTTTCTCTTCTTCCATCCCCAGTCCGTTGGGGCTGATGCGATATCCCAGGAAAGTGGTTTCCTGCACATGGAATTCGCACTTCTTCAGTTTGAGAGTAACCTCAGCTTCTCTCATCTTTTGCAGCACAAGTTTGTTGTGTTCAATGTGCTCTTCCAAGGTCTCTGAAAAGACCAAAATGTCGTCTAGGTACACTATCACGAAGAGATCCAGATATTCTTCAATTGCTTTGATGATGAAGCGTTGGAATGTTGCTGGTGCGTTGGTGAGGCCGAAAGGCATAACCAAGTATTCGAAGTGTCCGTACTTCGTGCGGAATGCTGTTTTCCATTCGTGTCCTGTCTTGATTCTGATGCGGTGATACGCATTGGTAATGTCGTACTTGGAGTAATATTTCGCTCTTCCAAGTCTGTCTTGCATTTCGTGGATCAAAGGAAGTGGGTGCCGATCTTTGATGGTAATCGAATTCAGATGTCGGTAGTCCACACAAAGTCGAAGACTCCCATCTTTCTTTGGTACGAAGATGATTGGGTATCCGGCCGATGATTTCGAGGCCCGGATGTACCCTTTCTTTAGGTTTTCGCTGATGTATTCCTTGAGTGTTTCTGACTCCTTCTGTGACAGCTGGTAGATGGGTTTGAAAGTAGGTTCGGTCCCCTCCATTGTGTTGATCTCGTGGTCAAATGTCCCGTGCTTTGGTAACACTCCTTCGGCTGGTGCCGTGAACACATCCGTGAACTCACGGTATTCTTCTGGAATTCGTGGTTCGTCGCTGGTTGCGTACAGCTTCTCATGTTTGACGGTTATGTATTCCTTCAATTCTTCTTCCGTCATGTTGTGAATTTGTTCCGGAAATGGTTCCGTTAATATTTCGTTCTTTCTTCTCTTGGGAGGCTGGTTGCTCCGTTGGGCGGCCTTTCTCCGACGCGTTTCGTAGCTGTCGTACCGCTCCATGCACTCGCATCTGTTGAAGGTAATCTCTCCCGATTGCCAATCAATACTCGGGTTGTGCTTCCTAAGCCATGGAATGCCTAGCACAATGTCGTAGTCTCCCGTTTCCAGAACGTTGAACTTAATCAATTCTGGGTGTCTATGGACAGACATGGGTAGTGTGGCGGTTTCTTCACTGACTCCTCCGGAGAGCACTTCTCCGTTGAGTCCTGCAATGGGAATCACACGCGGCAGGGGTTTGGTCCATATCTTCTTGTCTTTTTGGAACCTTGGATTCATGAAGTTGTTCGTAGCCCCTGAGTCAATGAGAGTCCAAGCTCTTCCTTGAGGTAAGGTCACATACAACTTGACATGTCTCCCTGTCGTGGTGGCTGCTAGATGCGTTGCGGGTTGACCATTGTGGTCACATACCTGACGCCCGTTGTACCATACTCCTTGGTACTCAAGCCTCCATTCTGGCTTGCTCATCCACCGCAGTGGTCTGGGATCGATGCCATGATCCAATTTTGCGGATTCATGGGTGGTGCACGTTTCGTCGTAGCACATAACACTGGCCATCTTGCCGTGTTCCGGGTGTCGTGCGTATCCTTTGCACGCGCAAGTGGGTTTCTCGCATGGGCATCCTATTGGGTCGTCGCCTTTCTCCATAATTCCGAGGAGATGCTGCTCCAATCTATCGGTCCGACTTCCTCCTTGGGAAGGACCTTCAGGCGCTTCAGCCTCTTCATGACCTCGGTCATGGTACCCAGGGTTCTCTTTCTCTTCTGAGTCTTCGTGTCCCTTTCCTGGGATCGCACGGCATCCTATTGGGTCGTCGCCTTTCTCCATAATTCCGAGGAGATGCTGCTCCAATCTATCGGTCCGACTTCCTCCTCGGGAAGGACCTTCAGGCGCTCCGGCCTCTTCATGACCTCGGTCATGGTACCCAGGGTTCTCTTGCTCTTCTGAGTCTTCGTGTCCCTTTCCTGGGATCGCACGGCATCTGTGGTGGGTTTCTCGACCTGTTTTCTTTGGCACGCCTGGCGTTCTTAGGTCGTTGGTGGTGTTGGGGTTTGGCTCCTGCGCCCTGGTTGGCCCCACACCGATCGTCTTGAGGGGTTGGTGGTTCTGCGACGAGCCTGGTTTTGAGACCGCGGTCCCCGGTCCGTGCGCTCCTTCCGACCACCCTTCTGTGTTTTCTCCGATCCGAAGTCCTACGGGGTCTTGGCTTTGCAATGCCTGCGGGACATACTGTGTCCCCCCCTGACTCTCCACCGTATCCCAGTCTATTTCCGGATACTCGAATTCTGGCTCGTCGGCTAACCCTTCAGTACACAGGTTGCCCGCCAATGTCTCTTCTGGGCTCAGGGTTCCCCATCTTGCCAAGAGATCTTCCAGGGCTTCTGTGCCTGGGTAGTCGCTTCGGACTTCTCGGGTCGCGCGTAGCTCTTCCCGCGTTGCCCGCATGTGCTGCCGTTTCTCGAACGGTTTCTTCTGCTTGCATTCAAATGCCCGGTGCCCCGGTTTCCCGCAGGTAAAGCAGAGATTCTTTTGTCGACGCTCCTTTTGCTCTTCTTGAGTGGCGTCCAATTCCATTGGCTTTGGGCCATATGGGTCGGGGTCTCTGGGTGCCCTGTTCTCGCGGCGCCCGTGCCCGAATCTGTTCAATCCGTGGGTTTTTCCTCTTTTCCACTGATCCATCTCCTTTCGCTCGTATCGCCGCTCGTTGATGCGGTTGTCGATCTTGACCGCAATGGCGATGAGCTGGTCCAAGTTATCGGGTCTGTCGATCCTTGCCAATTCGTCCTTCACTTCCGACTTGAGCCCTGCTTCGAAGTACGGGATGTACGCTCGATCGGGCAGATCCAAGTAAGAGATGATTTGCTGGAATTCAGAGGCGTATACCGACGCGCTGGTCTGTTGTCAGATCTTCTGCAACTTCCGCTCAGCTGTTCTGGTGGCGTCGATATCTCCGAATGTTCGTTCCAGATGTCTTCGGAAATTGCCGTAATTTTCGAAGATTTCGGTGGTCGTTGCTGACCATTCTTCCGACGACTTTTCGTAGTAGTCTCTGATGTGGGGTTCGAGCCAGTTCCAAGCTTGGCCTCGCAAGTAGGTTGACACAAAAATCACCTTGCTGGCTTCGCTAGGTAGCTTGATTTTGTTCACGTCGAGGTGCATGTCCATCTGAGTGAGGAATCCCCGCAACTTGGTTCGGGTTCCTTCGAAGTACTCAGCCTTGGGCAATGTCGGTGCCTTGATGGCGTTGGCGGGAGCGGAGGCGATGACCTGCTCTTTGAACTGAGCGAGGTAATCGTCAACTTCACCAAACTTGCTTTTTGCTCCGGATCCCAGTTCGTTGAGCTTGGCGGTCAGCTCCTGGATCTTCCGTTCGAGTATGGTGATCTTGCTCCTCTCCTCCACTAGCGTTCTCTCGAGTTCTGCATCGGAGTCTTCCTCGGCCTGGGAAGCCTTGACGGGCTCCTTGCCGGTTTTCTTTCCTCCGGTAACGTGAGACCTGTTGTCGGGTTTGTTGACTCGAAACTATATTCGAGACGGTCTTCAATGTGTTACGCACTGCGTAACTGGTCACAGTTATGTTAGAAGCTTTCCTGATTATACTTGCCTGTGCTGATCCTCCAACGTCAACGATCTGCCTCTCAACCGAGCTGTTGCTGCGCACAGTCTTATTCCAGCCTAAATCCTTTTGAGGGTATCGAGGAACGATGCCAGGTAGAGCGCCGAGTAGATCTATACCGCAGTATTGGTCTGCTCGTAGGTGTTGTCAAGTGATAATATAGTTAACGAGTCAACGTGGTTCCAAAGGTAAACACAAGTAACAATGTAGGATTGAAGACGAAGAACTAAACTAAGTACATGAGGGAGTGTCCTTATATATCCTTCG